TCGTCGAAAGTTTTTATCGGTTTATTCCCGTTAAAGTGCATATTTCAAACATCTAACCCCATTTCTGTTTTTTTACTATATAAGGCTACCTACAGGCAAAAAATGAGCCAAATCGATTTTTGGCCGTGTCCGCGATTTTTTCGATAATGTTTGATTTTTACTGACATTTACTCTTAAACAATAATCTCGGTCGGATTCCGAGTTGTTTTGATTCTAAGTTTATTCCCTTCTACTTGGTTATGTGCTAGGTACGTTTCTCGTATAACTTAACAAGTTCCTAGCAGGAAAAAAAAAAAACATCTACAACTACGTTACACGTACAAACATATTCCCATTATTTCTGTGGTGTAGTAGGTACGGCCAAAACATGATCTTCAAACCTACAACAAAATTTAACATTCTATTTTCTTACACCTAAGTAATGGCGCAAACATTATTCCAGCCGCAGCAGACGACAAGGCAGACATACACGAGAACTACCACAATTTCATTGTAATAATTTTGTTTTCTTGATAATTCAGTAGCTAAATTTTGAAATCACACTGAACTTTAAACACAATTGCCCTAATTAGAAAAAAAAAGAAAAAGTGAAGATATCTGGTAGTTGTATTGTTGTAGGCAAATGACACCATCAAGAAAGTTGCCTAGATTATTGATAACTAAATTTGCTAAAAAAAATGGATTTGTGTCGACCAAATTTATATGCAGCCTTTCTACCCCAGAGAGTTTTTAACAGTGACCACCACATTTTATAGAAAACACTTTAAATGCCAACAACAATTTTCTCCTATCCTACTCTAACCAGAATGCATAAAAAAGGGAAAATTGATATGTTGCCATATGAATTTAAGGAATGAACTGACCAAAAGCTAGGTGTAGCTCTAACATGTATCTATAGACAATTATGATTGAAATTATACAGATTGTTCACTGTTCACAACAAAATGACAAGGAGTATGATCCCAGTAGCAACCAGAGTGAAAGGTAGCCATGTTTTCAGAAATGCACTCAAACTGCAATAAAAAAGTAACAGTACTGTAATTAAGAATGAATAAATACATAAATAAATGACTGACTGACGGACAGACGGACGGATGGACAGACGGAATGAATGAATGAATGAATGAATGAATAAACAAATGTGTTTACAAAATGCCAAATCTGAGTAAAAGAGATTTAGATCCAAATGTCCAGCATCCAAATAACCAGTGAGGACAAAATNGAATGCATAAAAAAGGGAAAATTGATATGTTGCTATATGAATTTAAGGAATGAACTGACCAAAAGCTAGGAGTAGCTCTAACATGTATCTATAGACAATTATGATTGAAATATACAGATTGTTCACTGTTCACAAGAAAATGACAAGGAGTATGATCCCAGCAGCAACCAGAGTGAAAGGTAGCCATGTTTTCAGAAATGCACTCAAACTGCAATAAAAAAATAACAGTACTGTAATTAAGAATGAATATATACATAAATAAATGACTGACTGACTGACTGATGGACAGATGGACAGACGGACAGACGGACAGAATGAATGAATGAATGAATAAACAAATGTGTTTACAAAATGCCAAATCTGAGTAAAAGAGATTTAGATCCAAATGTCCAGCATCCAAATAACCAGTGAGGACAAAATGATACATGTGCGTGTGTTACAGTCGGTATGGGGAAGCCTAAGGCTGATCAGGATGGATCTCATACAACTGTACCTGACAAACTTGCCACGAATAAACATGTAGAAAGCCAGCTTGATCATGTTCCACGAGGTTGACTTGTCATACTGCATCATGTTCAGTGCCATGGCAACATGGGAGTGACAGTTGTCACAACAAAGGTTATGCTAAAACAAGGTAAACAAAAGGTCACCTCATATAATTGCACTTTACTGGCTGCACATAATATTGTTGTCAAAGTTTTGTTATTGGACTAAAAATTGACATGACACTGTCCATGACACTGTCTAGGTTGGCCAGGTTGAGGGATGCTGAGAAAGGCAAAAAGCCATTTTCCATCTCTCTGTATGTTCCCTGTCATGAGTTTTTACTTGTATCCATCGTTTATCATCCAAAAATTAAATCAAATTGATCGCACGTATTTAATCATGAACAGAGCAAAATAACAGATAAGTTAAATTTTATATTACCTTTATTTCTTTTATTGCTTAGTGGTATACTGACTAGAAACAAATTGATAAAAATGATATCCCACATGTGAGTGTATCGTTTTTATCCACACAAGCAAAGGCATAATTTTTGATAACATTTTGTCCCTTTAACTGCCCTTAAATTTGTTGGCTTATGATTGAAACATCTTTGGATTCTCTGGCAGTCTTTGGTTATCTTTGAAAAATGTTCGGAAACATTCGCCTGGCTTTCAGACAAATTTAGGAAAATCTTCGGAAATCTTTGGAAAATCATCAAAAATGTTCTTATGTATTGTGAGAACTTTACATAATAAAAAGAAAATTACACGGATCGATTGGTCACTTGAGTACATAATTTGTTTCTGCCAGTTTATCACTTAATAATCTATGAAAAAAGCTGTTAATGTCTCGGTTTTTTCATTTATTTTGAGTATAAAGTTTGCTATATACTTTTAATAATTAATATTTGTTGTTTGTTTGATTGGATTTTTTTGGCAAAGTCTGCAAAACAACGTAAACTTAAAAAAATACAATCTGCCTGAGTGGATGAAACATAAACACCACATGTAAGTAAATAAATTTCATAAATATAATCACTAACTCACCATTCGGTGCTTGTATTCCTCTGAGGCGGAGGAAATGGCCACATCCCAGCTGTTTTGCAAACTTGAAGCTTTTGCTGGATTTAATCGCCAGAATCTATTTAAAATTATATTATTTTAGACATGTACAGTGTATACTGTATATTTTTTTGGAATTGTAACATTGATTGCAGCTTATTAACTGATGTATCTCTTGTGATTCCAATTTAATAATGATGGAATAAATTAAAATAATATTAATGTTACTTAATATTACAAGTACACATCTATTTGTCTAATGATTGTACACTGTATATGACTGCACAGTACCATCAGAAAATATTAATAAATAAATCTGACGTTCTTATCTTGTATTGACTGGGCTTGCATGTATATGATAGCAGAGAGGGAGGAAAGTGGATGCATAAGAGGATGGACATAAGCAAATAACGCAACTAATAACAATAAAAAAAAAAAATAATAAATAAATTATAAATAAATATACTGTTGCTAGCTTTCCCTTGGTTACGTGCCTTGGCAGTAGTAGTATGAAGGAAAATCCAAAACTAAACTTGCAACTTACTTTGTAGGTCTGCCAAATGCCATATCATCTTCCTTTAAAGAGAAAATAATAATGCATTCCTATTATGAAGTTACTAATTAATAGAATTAAAGGCTATTTTTCTATTGACAGAAGATTTAAATTTGTAGGTAATTTCATTGCCTATGTTTACAAATAATATTGATGCAATTTAAGGTTGGGTACATGCATGCATATATGCAAAATTTATCTTTGGTTTAAAAATTAATATCAAAGCCAGTTTCATTTCCATTTTTTTTTTTTTTTTTATTACATCATTTATTATCATAATAATTGTCACAATATAACCAAACGAGAAAGTCTAATCAAACTGGTTTGAAAAGTTTAATATTTAAATGAAAGATTTGTCCAGTCAGTGCCTGTCTAACACAGCTTGGACATCCAAAGGTTTCTACATGGTATTTTGAAATAATAACTAAATATTGATATTAATTATTGATATTGGCTTCAGGAGACATAAGTACTGTAGTCAAAGAATGGAGCCTGATCAGTGTGAAATTTAAACGGCAAAAGCAATGGCAACAGGAATGTCATTAAAAATGGTTTTAATGATGAGTGGGTCCACATAAAGTTGTGTTATTTATTTATTTATTTATTTGCATGTATGTCTCTGCTGTTCTGTGCAAAACAACAAGGGGAAAGAAACCAAATGCTGTGTAGTTTGGATGATGCAAACCATAATGTTCAGCATTTTTTTTATGTTTCTGTTTCAAATTTAAAGCTGTCTTGTGTATTCACTTTTGGAATGATCAGCTGTGTAAGTGATATTTCTTAGCTAATCCATGTTTCTCTTGGCGTCACTGTAGAGGTAGGCCTAAAATGGAGGTGAGGGATGTAAGGTGCTGGTGAAGGGTGAGGGGTTTGGGGCATCATCAGTACCATTACTTAGAACTTAAACCAGAGTGCAACCTCATTCCTGCAGCCCTGGTCTGTCTTCTTTCTGATCCTACAGCTCTAAGGGGAAGGAGCGGGAGGGGTGGGGAGAAGAGAGACGAAAGGAAATCTTTTGAAAGAGACGTTCTTAGTCAGCGTGCTATTCAGCCTCAGCTCAGCCCCTAACTTGCACCCCTAAGCCTTCACACCCCATTTTAGATTTGCCCTCACTGTAATGGTTGATTAAACTTCCTATTATTCAGGATTGGGTGATTCCAGAAAATATCCATACCATACCACGGGCAGCATACTGGAATTCTGAGGGAGACGGGGGTTTCTTGGACTGCAATTCTGAAGGCATGGGGGGTAGGGGTGACGCAGTTTGGAATTCCAAATGCATTGGGGAGGGGTTCAGCTCTGGATATTTCTGGAATCACCCATTAACAAAATTAATTATACAAGTACATGTATAATTGTTGATGTATCCAGTAAACCATAAGGCTGTATACTAATTGCACGCAGTATAGCTAGAGGGGCCTTACCGAAACATAGAATGGACCAGCAAAGTCTCTAATCACTCCGGATGACATGGCAATTCCCATGTGACCAACAAAAGGAAAAAGCCATCTGAAATAGAAGAATGTGACAATGGCCCAATGATTAACTGCTTGGAAATTACTTGAAAAAACATTGATCACTCATTACAGGTTGCAGATATCCGTACATGCATGCTACAAAGTGGTACCACTGACCACTCGACATGGACTTCACTAAAGGTAAGAAGGTGTTTGTGAAATAACTGGTAAACTGTACTGTACAATTCAAAGGTGAAGTGATTTCGTTAGCACTAAATAATCTTCAGGAAACTTTATGCTCGGGAAAAAAAGACTTCAACAAAGCTAAGCATTGAACTTCAGAAAACAGCTTTGATATGAATATAAGCTTAAATATTGCACATAATCAATCGAGCCAAGTTGACGTTTCAGGCAGCCTAGAGCAAAAGCGCTTCTATGAAAAGGTTGGACAATGGCCGGGAAATATATAAGCTTAATTCGCCAGCAGTAAAACGAGTAAACATTTTAAAAAAAGAAACAAATAAAGTTCCCAAACAGACAGACAAACAAACGAACAAAAACTCAACGACTGTATCAAAAATCCTCCAAAATTATAGGAATTAAGCTGCAAGCAGAGTCGCATCGATAGGGCAACTTCCTCTTTCCCGATTTATTAAGGAAAGGTCGAGATGACTCTGCTCGCTGGGTATCAAAAGTAATGATTTCAAAGAAAATGTATCAGTCCAACATTTACAGAAGTAAAATAAAAAATGTCTAAATAATAATAAAGTTGTATTCTTATACTGACGTTAAAACGGGAATGGGTGTCCATACAATGCAGTAAGGATATCTACTCCGTGCCACATCAATCTTTGAGTAGATATCTTCGGGATCCATGATATTTTTTTGGTGATTATCGTCCATTGTAAGGAGACATACCGAAAACAATTTTGCTTACAACTACGCCATATTGGTTCTTGTCCGGTGGGATCATTCAGGACTTAAAATCATGTAGTACTAACTGTTATTTGATATAGACTGCTGAAACAATAGCGCTGACTCCTTAGAAACCAAAGAACGCTACGCGAACGCCATGTTTTGAAATTACTTGATCGGATCGTTCGTTGAATTGGAATTAGTTGTTGGCGATAATGTGATTTAGAGACTAATTCCTCAGTTTGCTGCCTCTGAATTATGGCATTCAAGCCAACAACGATCGCATTCAGGTAATTTCGACGTGCAGAGCTTTATGCATGACTTAGGCTTTGAACGTTTGCGTTTTCTCATATTTCAGCATATTTTAGCTTACTAAAGGAGTTGATTTTGATCCGCAATAGTGAATTGTTTAATTTAATGCATTCAGTGTCATATATGGAAAATTACATATGTTTAGTTTCCTTTGATGTTTTTTTTTTTTTTTTTTTTATGCTTTACAAGGTGGGTGTAACTTTGAAGTCTGTGAATGAAACTCTAGTGTGTGACCATTCAGTTGAAAGCTATTGAACAGTACTTTCGCGTGGTACTGTTTATAATGCTGTAAAAGGTGCCGGTTCTAACGTTAAAATCAGTGTGGATGAATCCCTAGTGTGTGACCATTCAACAGGCCACGTTCGATACATCAATATTCTAACATGGCTCCGAGGCTTTCAGGACAAACTTCTGCGTGAGTTTGGTGGTGTTTTCTTTGTATCCAAGTCTCTTTTGGAAACTGAGAGACAAAAGAAACTTAACAAAGTTGCAATTTTTACCCGAAAGNACAAACTTCTGCGTGAGTTTGGTGGTGTTTTCTTTGTATCCAAGTCTCTTTTGGAAACTGAGAGACAAAAGAAACTTAACAAAGTTGCAATTTTTACCCGAAAGCCTCGGATCGATGTTAGATTATTGATATTATATCGAACATGACCTATTGAAAGCTATTGAGCAGTACTTTCTGTGTGTGCAAGTCTGTGTGTCAATAGCTGTTGAACAGCATTTACATATGCATAGAACTTGATTGTGACATGCTAACGGTGTATAGTAATTCTCACTTTGGGTCTTTGGACTTAAATGTGCCTAGCAGAATGACGGATTCGGCTGGCGTGTTTACACCCTTGTTGCCGCCCCATTCAGACCACGTGATGATTCATTTGAGAGGTAACAATTATTCAGTTTGTACATACTCCCATCAAGAGAAAATGATCTGCTGCCATGCAATCCGTTGCGTGTGGCAAATTGCACATTTGTTCCAATTGAATCATCACGTGATCTGAATTGGATAGTAACGAGGATGTTAACACGTTAACCGAATCGGTCTCGAAAAAAGCTAGTGAGCAGAACTTTTTGCTTAGAACTGCTATCGTTAGTATCTTAGAACTTGGATCATCTTGACCTAACCCGTTCTTTGGTCACGTCACATTTGCCTTGCAGTTTCACGAACTGATGGTGGTCGACAGAAGGTGTCTTTAATTTGTTGCCGAGAAGTAATGATTACAAATCTTCAACTTACCTAAAGTTCCATCATAATCACCAATGAAGCGACGTGTCAACAGACGTACTGTAAAAGCTGTTAATCAGAAAAAACGAAACAGTGAGTATAGTTACTCAAAATTCTGTAAATACACCTTCCTAGTAAAAGAAAGTTTATATCGCTAAATATCGCTTTCTTTTTATATAGAATTTAGTTTTACAGTGTTGGAAATATCCGAGCACATTATTCGGAGCAAAAGGGTCAAAGGAAGTTGCCAAAAGGACGGAACAATGAGTAGTCTGACAAGATTACCGCCTTTAACTGGAAGAAAATATGGGATAGTTTGACGGCGCGAAACGCCTTCTTTTGGAGTGAAGGTGAAACTGCCATATCCAGTTGTGCTATGTTCACTGATCCCTAGCACGTAATTGTCTTAGCACTTTTCAGACATCGAAAAATGCGAAAACAATTACTCCAGCCAATGTTTCACTTCTTTATTGTTATGTCTCGTTACATTCTGGTTGCAGGTTTGCCAGTAAAAGCCGGAAGGATATATAAAGCAATCAGATTGTTACCGATAAGATTATCGAGTCTGCCTGAAAAGAAAATACGATAAATTTTAATAGAACGGACAAAACGTGCGGAGTTTTGACTTCAGATTTGATTGGCAACCCGCTGTGAAATGTTTGTTGTCTGCACGCAATTCAATCGTTACAGTAGTTCCACGCTAGTTTGCATGGTAACGACCTACAACAAACAGAATAAATGAGAGCAGTTATCTCCCACTTTCAACAAATTTCAGTTCTAAAAAGAATTATGTAACTAGTCTGCCTTAATATCATTCCTGTTCCTTGCTGGTACACCTTATTGTAACACCCCCAAACACTTCTCTCGTTTGCCTAGCCTCGATCCTCCAACGTGCAAGAAGTGCGTGTAATTACCTGACGTTTCGTGCGTGGGGTCGGGTTTAATTTAGTTTTAGTTACGTGTTAATATAACAAAATTAATTCAAAGATCGTGAACTTTGGCTTTCCAGCTCATATTGAGTGATCATACCATTCCTCACCTGTCTTTCCGACGCCATCTTTTCCCAACACGGCGGCACGAATGATTCTATTTTCCTCCTCGATGTTGTTATTTGACCCAATGCTAAGATTCCGAGGCCTGCTTCGTTGGAATAAGTGGCCGTGATTGTCTTGTGGAAATGACTGTCAAAATAGCAATTCAGACATGACTAACACCTATGAATGCCAACATAAACGTTGCGCTGCTCCTGTTTGATTTTATTTACCAAACCACAATTTTCCTCAGCACTTCTGATAACTGTAAAGTACACTTAAAATATTTTAACATATTGTCCGCAGATTTCCTCTTTGAACAAGTAGATGATATCGTAAAAGATAAACCGCAGAAAGCTTTAGTGGAACAGTATGAGTTACTTTGCACTTCCGTTGGCAGTGATTTCTTAAGTCTTCTGCAACATTCTGATGTCTGTGACTTAAGGGTAAAAAACTGAAATTTAAATCCTTCAAGTCTAGTCGGATATATTGAACTCAAAATATAAGCCATCGAGTTCATTCAAACAAAACATTTACACAATATACAAAGTACACCTACCATTCGTCTGCCAGTGGCTTCGCCTCTACTCTGCATTGTTCCACGTGATAGTTGTAGAATTTAATTCAAGGCGCCCCGTAAACAGAGAAAATTGTCGCAGCAAACGTCTGCGGTTTGTATAACTGGATTAAGAAGTTGCTCGCCTAGAGAAGAGAATTGTAAATAAACAGCAAGCCAGATTCAGTTCATTCCATTCAAACGTAATCCTTGCAATAGGTCGTCCTTCCCAGTTTCGTGCAGCAAATGTTTACAGAGTCTGCTTTATAAACCGCCTCTAAACTTACTTCCTTGCAAGTAGTTTAGGTTGGACAGAAGTCAAGTTCAACAATAGTGGAAGATCTGACTTGGAACCGAAGGCGTTTGAGTTCCGCTTTAAGCCTCATTGTGTGTTGAATACCGGCTCGTTTTCATCGATTGTCATTGATACCGAGGGCGTAAGGTCATGCCGCAGTTTTCCTTTTAGTGATCGATTTAATGGGAAAAAATATCCAAAGTTGTTATAGTAAAGATCAGCCCTCCTGGAGCTATTTAGAATGCAAACAGCACAAGACTCAGAGTCCTTAACCTTCTGGGCGGGGTTCGGACAAATGGAGACGGTAGAGAATGTTGTCGTCTTCCGCACGGCACCTTCTTGCATTTTGTCGTATTCTTTCTTGGATCTGCTAGTCGTCTTAAAACTTGTATCTATCCTGTATCTTTTTTAATGCCACCTCATTTCCAAGTTTTCAATCACTAGTCTTACCCTGAAACTCTCTCACAAGTTGTGATAAAGTTATGACATGACGGCTTATCTTGATCGCTAATCTGACTGATTAATTAGCGGATTATAATTAGTACGTAGGCGACTGGAACGAAGTAGGGTTAACAGAAGGAGATTGTTGAACGAATCAAACCAAACGTCTGTTTGAGACGTCGTCCAAAATCTTTCCACCGACAATCCTCTTACTTCCTTGTTTTGCTATAAAGCTCAGTTAGCTAAAGTCAAAACAGAATTGAATGACCTGTTTTCATTTTGGCGGTCGAAAAAAAAGCTACGAAAGAAAATTGTCTATGACAACAATTAAGAATAACAAAGCGACTGACCCTTTGCGATCTCTGTTAAGCACCCGCTCAAATCTCAGTACGTGTCAGCAACACAACCATAATCATTGAAAGTAAGAGAACTCTTTCCATTATGTATTGGCTCTCTTAATTGGTTAATATGAACGACGAGGCCATAGGAACAACCGGCGGTCGAGCCATCTTTGCTCCGTTTAAAGAACAATATCCGATCAATGAGCTTAACTGATGGTTGATAAGCGAATTCGGTAATGGAGTTTGGAAAACCTTGATATTGCAGATTGCAGCACAAAAGCAAGGTCATCAAGCCAACACAACACTTTCCTTTAGATAACTGTAATTAACGCCCACTTTTTTTGTTTTGGTGTACCCTGAAATATCTAACAAGTGACCTGAATAGATTATTGTTTTCTGGCCCCTGGGCTAGGGGGATCGGGGAGGTGTAGCTCGGGCGTCGATCGTGCAATCCCTGATCATGCTCAAATTAATCAAAGCATCTGGTCTTTTTCTTGTCTTTTTCCCATCCTTAGTCAGATTATCTCAGTGGCATTCTTAAAGCGTAATTTTATTTCACGCGAATTACGTAAGTGCCAATGCGTTATTGGTGAAAAGGACCAACAAAGAGCAATGCTAACATAAAGTATGTTTTTGTGACTGGATCAGGCAGATATGTACATCCCACATCCCACTNAGCAAAAGAACAGAATGACATGTGTAACAGTGAAATAATGCAGAGCAAGGAATTAATAAAGTAAGTAATGTTAATGGGCTCGATATTTGTATGCATAACTTGATACTGTTAAATGTATGCACTGTCGAATATAATGTTGTTGAGATGGGTCCCCAGTACAGTTGATGTACGTTGTGCACATACTCTGCTGGTTAAACAGTGACTGCAATTCTCTTACACTGGAGTTTCTTATATGTAACATGGTTTTGGCTCTACCATGATGGAAAACCATACAGAATCTTTGAGGCTATTAATCTTTTTAGACCTTCTAATGATCCTTAGTGATAAAGATCTTTCAAGGACTCTGAAAAGATCTTGAAAGGTCATGGCAAGAAGGATCAAGATCCTCAAGGACCTTGACAAGAAAACTGAAAATTCTGAAGGATCTCGGAGGTTCTTGGCAAGAATTCTTAAACTTAATAAAGGTCTTGTTAAGATAGGATTCTCGAAGATCTTTATGGATTGAATAAATCTTTGACTGAAGATCCTTGACAATCTTCAAAATATTTTCTCCAGGGTTATTATCTCAGTGGAGATGTACAATCAATAAATTGCACTCATCTTGTTTACCTCACCCTAAATGTAAAGCAAGATTAGACTTATTTGTGATTTGTCAAACCAAATAGAACCTGACAGAATGAAATGTCTACACCCTTTGGACAGTACTTTGTAGAGTGGCATTGTAAAGTCCATGGATTGGTCTTTTACAAGCCCCTGTCCCTAAGATGTAGGAGGAGGAAGGTTCTGTGAGAGTTCAAGACTTGAAGCTTCAACCACCATGCAATGTCTCTCATGCCACCCTATTCCCTTCAGGGGTCCAATAGGAACTGGCGATGGCAGTGCATGTTTTTATTTATTTAACCTCCAGAAAACCGTTTTTTTTTTTTTTTTTGGCCTCTTTCAGTTCCAAGTCTAATGAAGTTAATGACTGGAAACAAAAACTTCAGAACCAGGCAGAGACATTTAAACTTGAAACCACGAAAAAAGAGGAGGATATTCTTTCAAAAGAACAACGCATTCAACAACTCTTGGAAAACTGCAAGAACCTTGAGAAGCGTGTTGTTGAATATTCGCAGGCAAGAAGCGAAGTGGAAGAGAAGAGTGCAAGCTCTTTGGAGGAAATAAAAGTAAGTTGCTCAGAAAAAAATAAGCATGGGCTGATTTTACTAAGACAGCCTAAATATGATTTAGTTTGAGTTTTCACTGAACTGTGTAGAGAAAACCCAGTTTGGCTTTCATCAAAGTGTAAACAATGTTAATTTTATTTCCTCATCCATTCCACAGCATGTAACACAACCACTTTGTCAATTCTTTGTTTGAATCTCAGTTTTATCTAGAGATAGCGACTATTATAGATTGGAAACATGGCTGTTAGTTTGCACTCTCTTAAACAAGATATTTTCTGATTTAATTTGAATTGAATTACTACTTTCGGCCATTTTTGTATGTATAGGCTTTGAAAGAGTCTTCCATAAAAGCAAGAGATGAAGTGGCAGCCCTAAAAGAGGAAAGGTATGTTTTTGAATACAATGTTAATTTCAAATTGCTCAATCTTTTTTTCTGGATAATTTTTATTTGTCTTATTACAAGCTGAATGTGTTTCAGAGAGATGATGATTTCTGCTCACCACAATCGCATAGAACAATTGAGAGAAAGCTTTAAGAAGAAAATGGAAGAAGCAGATGCTTGGCCAGGAAAAGTGAGTAAATGAACTACACATGTTTCTCTGATTATAATGTACTTGTGTTTGGCCTCAGTTTTGAGCCACTGGGAAAGAATTTTTGGAGTTGGGTCTTTATTTCCAGAAAGTGACCTTCTGCTATTTCCCTCTCCACCCATGGAGTGCCCAACTGGACAGCGAAGTATGGTATGGATTTCCTTGATTAAGCTAAGGGTACAGTACTGTTAGCTTGTTGTTGGTTTAGGGGGAGTGGGGGCAGGTTGGGGCTGAATCAAAACTTGAACCCAGGAGCTTGTATTTGGGTGAGAAGAGGGATTTTATGGAAGGATGTTTGCATCGATGGCTTGGAGGCTCATTTATGAGGAGCCATTAGGATAAGAATAAACTTGAGCTTTTAGGACAGGTACATGTAATCCCAAGTCTTGTATTGGCAGTTTTAATATTATAATATCAGTTTGTTTTAGTTTTCGCATTTGATTTGATTTTGCTTGTTTGTTTCTGTTTCGTTTGTTTGTTTTTTTTAATTGTTTTATGAACTGTCTTTTATCGTCTTCTTTGGTTCAGCTTGACAAGATTGTGCAGGAAAAGGAAGCACAGTTTAACGAAGAGAAAAACAACATGTGGAAAGAGTTAACCGAAGCATTTCAAAAGGTAGTCATTGATGTGGGTAGAACAGATTGCTATAATGTGTAACATAATGGGAATGCAAATGCATGTGGTATAATTAAGCTGGATTACATGCACTTCCTCTTGAAATACTCTTCGATACTAAAATTATGTATTTTTGTTTGATTGGTTTAGTTCGCCAATGAATTAGCTGACCAACCAAATCACATTGTTGGGAAATAACTAGTTTTTTGTTCGTTCGTTTGTTTGTTTGTTTGTTTGTTTGTTTTTCAGAGGTTTTCTTTTTTCTTTTATCCATACCTGATAAATCATCACTCGTGTTTATGACTTATTCAGTTTGTTTAGTTTATTTATTTTTTTCTGCGATTCAGTTTGCATAAAATAACGTTAAGTATTTCCTGTAGGATAAGTCTATTCAGTGATTGTTTTTTCTCTCTTGCTGGATATCGTCAGGAAATAGATGAAGAACAACAGAAGCATCATGAAGAGCTCGTTTCGTGGAAGACGGAAGCGAAGGCTGCTCAAGATAAAGTATGTATAGAGGATATTACACGGCGGCGCGAAGATATGAATTGTATTTTGGAGTGGCAAAAACAATATTTTGCGAACGAGTGGAGAGAGTGAGTGAAATATTGTTTTTAACACGGAGATATAAATTCATATGTTTAAGCCACCGTGTATTTTTCTTTTTTATATCGACAAACTGACAGATTGCACAAACGACCATGAAAAAGCGGGAAATGACGTCATCAGTATCCTCACTTGTGAAGGACGTGAAGATATGGAAAATTCCCCACTCGGGAACTCGGATATAGTTTGGTATAATTTTTATAAGTGGATGTAATTTCCAGAAGAAAAAAAATACTTTTTTTCTATATGATAAAGGGCATTATTTCGCTTTTCCATTTTTACGAAATCGCGAGGGTTTGCCACGTCTCTTTAGTGTTGCAGAAACGTTTTATAAAGTGGAAACCTATGAGAATGAGAAGTCGAGTGCTGTGACAACATATAGATAATAATAATAAATAATAATAAAGTTTTTTGGGTGCATTTAAAAAAAACTCAATGCGCTTTCATTACTATAACATAAGTCATAGGCGGAGCATTTTTGCACATATTTCCAGTTCTGCATAACTTTCAACGAGTATTTTCGTTACTACAGAAACAGGAGTGATTGCGCATGCGAACAGTAACTTCCACTTGCTTCTTTCTGATATCAATCTAAGAAGGGAACTTAATTTTTTTTTCGCATCTTTCTTCGTATTTAGTTTAGAGAAGACATCTCCACATTGAGTCGCAAACACCGTGAAGAAGTCAAGCGACTGGAGCGGACATTGAACGAAGCCAAAGTAAGTCAGCGTGTATTCTCTCATTATATTATCAGCTTATTGTCAACAAGTGTGGAAAGAGAATGGAGAAAAACATCAACAAAGCATATTATTTAGATGTACGACCAAATTCTCTGAACTAACATTGGAAGAAAAGTATTATAGTCAGTTGCCAGGATTCAACTGGAATCACGTATCAATCACTCGTGGTTGAGGCTATGTTAGCGCTGGTTTTGTCCTAGCAATGTCACTTTAATCTCACAATGTCGCTCTCTAGCAAGTGGTAAAATTGGTCTTTTTGTAAAAATGTTAGGGTGACCACTGATATACTAGCATGCCTTTCGGGGAAGGGCGGGGGAGCGGGGAGGGGGTAATGCAGAAAATGAAACCAGAGCCGCCGGCTTCTTTAGCTACAAGGCTCTGGAAAGGTTTTGCAGAATTAAATTGTCCATTTCTTAAATGAAGCAAGGAAATATTCAACGAAAGAAATGGAATTTTAACCATGTTTCAAGTCGTGCGAATTGTTAAGTAATGTTACAAGAGAAATAAGCTGCTTTATGGTTTGTTCCCAAACTTGGTTTGTTTCCTATGAGTTCTTTTTCGTTCTTAGCTTGCTTGCGATCGCTTGCGATCTCGTTGAACGCAAGACAAAATTTAATTAGAGGGTCTATGGACAGACTAGATGCTCTCTGATCTCTTCTGTTCTTTGTTTCACGGCTGTATCTAGACTGCAAAAGAATTTCATTATCACCCATATGAATAGAAAGATCCACATAACGTGACCCCAGTTATTTTATTTCAGGAGAAAAGCGAACAGACCAAAAATGCTAACAACTCAATCATACAAAATCTAGAGGGAAAAATCGTGGATTTGGAAAACCGTCTGCGTCAACCGTCAGCGGAGTCAGCGGAAGAAGTTCGCAAATTAAGGACCAGGCTCCAGGAGTCGGAAAGAAGGCTGCAAGAGGCCGAGCAGCAAATTGATGAATTGGAGACTAAAAACGAATCGTGGAGGCAAGAGGTAAGGGACGGTACTACTGTTTCTCCTTTCTCTTCTCTCTTCTAAGGTACGCCTGAACAGTGCATGTACCTTTAAGAACAATGTATTTATTTTCTTTTCTTTTCTTAGGTCTCTTTTTTACAAGAAACTGTTCGACGCGAGTGCGAGGAACGTTTGGAATTGACGGATGCTCTGGGTGAAGCGCGGGCTCAACTTCTAGCCCTTAAACGCACTTCCGGTGACTCGATTTCGCGAAGCAGCCTCAATTCCTCTAGTTCAATATCGTCTGGCAGCCTCACCCGGGGTAGTGCTAAGCCGGGATATGACGTCAATGGACTTAACGACAGTGCCCAGGCCACTTCATGCGCCGTCGGTTTCGACGGAGGCGTGGGTTATAGGCCTGGAACTGGCGCACGTGAAACGGGGCGATCGTCACGTGCAGGGAGCGTGGATGATAGCCGACAACGAATCGCGGCGGCCGTAAGAAGATCGGGAACGAAGAGTCGTTTGGGTGGAAACTTTAGTAGCTGACAAACCTTTAAGTCCTTGCAGTTAGTCTTAATTGAGCAGATAAAATGTGCTAGCGGAGAAGTCACCAGAGCGACAGATAGTCAAGAGAGATCTGAGTGCTGTGAGCTCGCCCTCCCTCCAAGCATTTTATTTAATTCTTTCCCGCTTGCAATTGAGAGCTGGGGATATATAGCTTTCCCCGAAGAGGAAAGGATGAAAACAAAACGAACATTAATATAATGAAATACAAAACATAACTTTACGTTTTAGTACTGAGTTTCAAAAATATCGTGTTGTTGGTGTAAATATTGTACATATAGCAGTGTTTTACATTCTTTGAAACTAATTTCTGATAAATACCGCGTTTCGCTGCGCGGGGATCGCTTCTGAATCAATCTTAGCTGACTGAATGAAATAACAAAAGTAAGAACAGCATGCCTGTTTACAAAACCTGGGGGACATATAGTTGAACCAGAAATGCCAGCGCTTTCGAAGCGGGAGCAACTGGTAGAAAAATTTCCTTGGAAAGTTTCCCGAACGTCCCAAAACTGTTACATTTCCAAAAAGCGAACTATTCAACCGAAAACTCCGGAAAGCCGGGATGAGAATCAAATGGGACAGAAATTCCCGATGAGACATTTTCGGAAATTTGGCCGGGTATGCAGCGCAAGGTTGTCCTTTTTTCCGTAAATTGTGGGAAATGCTCTTCCATTCGCCACTGGAAATTTCCGGATATGCAAACGGGAAGTTTTGGTCGAATGGAAAGCGCCCCTGATGTTCACAGTAGAGAGAGTTTGGGGGAATCCGAAAGTTCATGCAACAGGAAGTCCTAGGTGAAGGCTTACCAATTAAAAGTACTTTTAAATGCAGATAACATTGTATTTCTACTCCAGTATTTTCCGTTTTAAGTCTCGGACCGAGCCAATATATTCTACTCCTCTTCTTCGATCAATGTGTTGTGTTTCGACAGAAGCACAAAAATTGCTTGTATTTTTTAAGCGTTATAGGCCCAGGAGTGCATCAATACCGTCATCATCTTGATTAGGTCTGAGTTATAATTCCCAAAACATCTAATCTCCCCCCCTTTTTTCTTGTCCCCTTCCTATTTTCCAAGATCGTGCACACCTCGGTTACAAAGATTTTTGTTTTGGTTTTGTTTTTGCATTGCTTTGTTTTGTTTTTGTTTTTGTTTTTGGTTTGGTTTTGGTTTTGGTTTGTTTTTGTTTTTGTTTCTGTTTTTGTTTTGTTTTGTTTTTGTTTTGTTTCGTTTTTGTTTTTTTGTTCGTTGGGTACTGTTAATATAATTTTAAAACACGGAATTCATTTCACAGAACAATACAGGGAGACTTGTATGTAACAGTCTTTTCTTGCAAGGCTTATTCAAAGTTTTAAATTGTAACCTATGCAAACTAGCTTCGCTTTTGACAAATTTGAAATATATTTGTATAAGGAAATGAAGAAAATCACTTGATAAAAAAATCGATTACGTCAATTATGAGTTGTTTTTTTTTTTATTTGTGTTTGTATTTGAGGTGTCATCATGGTTTCATTGAAGAAAGACAATCTAAAGGCTTTTGAGTCAGTTAACGTTTGTGTGGTGTGCGATTTCTAATAAAAAATGTCCTGAAATTAAGTAACCCACAACTTAACAGTCGCTAACCAAATCACTCTTCTTTAGAAAAGATATTTTTAGTCCTTAGTAATGTGATGTTATCAAATCCTTTGAAAATCTTTCCTAACAAAAGATGCCCGGCCGTAAGCATCAATTTATGACGTATGGTGATCTGCGATTTTATGTAAAGACACCTGGCTTCATTGAAGATCAGTGTTTACTCACGGTTTAGTTCAAAAGCCTAGAGTTTGTCTTATGTCTTCTCTAATGAGAGAAAAATTAACCTCCAGGTATCATTGAAAACGGAACTTATACTTTCTAGCCAGTGACTTCTAATTGGGAGCAAACTTATTCCCTGCACTAGCGTTATTGACTGAATAAGGCAAGGTGCCTAATTTAACATAGTTATCCTGCTTCGGGGGGTACTTGAACTGAATGCTCGAGTTTGCAGGTGGCGGGAAAGTGTTGTTTTGGATATGTTTTCGCAGTTACAATTAGAATGCACGTAACTGGTAAATGAAGGCAATACGCAGTTTGGACCTGTCTGTTCTTTTCACCTCCATTTTGTTGCTGTTGTCCTTGCCTTAAGATCAGTCTGTTTTTTGAATCTTATTGTCTGAAGATTTTTACTGATCCAGGTTTACAGAGGGTGTGTTTCCCTTTCGGCATGTTGCTGGGTGTTCGCCTTTCTTGGAGTTCGTTAATGAAAGCTGGCTAACGCATTCAAGAAGACGGTTAGTCGCTTATTATCTACTCAAAACGATGTGGACGATTATGGTCATATGTATGGCTTGGCATCTTCAGTGTTCGGCGCTGAGTGAAGGTAGGAAGATATTCTGGGTTACGTTGAGTGTTAGCTAAGAGAGAGGGAGATTTAACAAATCGAATGTGGTTTAGCGCGGTCTTTACTCTTATCGACGACGATACGCGTCTTCACAGTGGTCAAAATGTTGTGGGCTCACGAGGCGTAGCAGAGTGAGTCCAAAAAGGCAAAGGTGAGTCCAAAAAGACATTGCGTGACGCATTGACGCGAGCAGCGTTGCCTGAACTCTTATCGACAACGGCAAGTTAGCCAATCAGATTGCGAGATTACTAGCAATTGTGGTAAAAAAGGTGATTGCTTAGTATTACTTTGCGCATCCCTACTGCGCACGATTTTCGCGTCATAAGCGCGCGCTCATGCGCGTGCACGTGCACAAAGTAAGAGATATCCCACAAGCTAAGCTCGACAGTGAAATAAATGCTCGTTTTCTCTTAAACGAGCATGGTGATCTACATTTTTTTATTGCATAATTTCGTGTACAAAATTATCCTCTTTAAGTTAAAAAAATAAGAAAAACATTGTTCGAAAGGAAAAGAAATATAGCTAAAAGCAGGGCGCCTCTTTTCGCCCTGGCTAAAAGAGTGCACAAAACCGATACGCGAGGATGCCAATTATGACCTCGAAAACAGCGGTTCCAGGAACGTTTTGAATCAATGTTGTTTAGAATTGTGTGATTTTGCAATAAATTATATATTACATTGTTCAATTCGCCCGACACTTTCTACCTATCAAGATTTTTTCAAGTTTGCTTTAATAACCTTTGCTTTCAGTTACCGCAAAATGTAAGGTCAACTGATGAAATAACGCGCTTGATTAGGCATAAATGGGGTAAGATTGGCCCATCATAACTCTTTAGCGAAAATGGTGGCCTTCTTTTTTATTGTATTTTTCGATAAAGTGCCTGGTAGGGAACACTGAGGGAAAGTTTCAAAACAATTGTTCGCATTTTTATTTCAGAGGAATCAACTTAATTGCACCCTCACACCACAGTAACGCGTTTAATTTTCTATGGCTACAACTGTTCAGTTTTCATCGAACACTCAACACTGCCTATATTCAGTGCTAAACTATTTTGAGTTAGGCTAAATAAAAAAATCGTTCTAAATAAAACAATTTTCTATGCAGTGTTGAGTAAATTAGGTTCAAGTGGTCCCGTTATTTGTGGAGAGAAACAAATCAAGTGTCTGCAGTGAGGAACAAACTTTGTTAAAGCACAAATAGCAACAAATTGTGTAAAGCAGCAATGTGTTTCGAAAGACTCCTCAATCAAATGCTTTTCAGTAATTAGGAAACTTGAATTTATGATGAGACAGCACACGAGTTTTAGAGGCTTTGTAAATCAACACTCTGTAAGGCCTGTGTCAGAGGAGAGCGATTGTCTGGTCGATACACATACAAGTAAGGAATTTTAATTTCATAAACAAATCCCAACTGATCAAAAATAACGGGGGCTTTTACACAATGTAAAAACCAACACGCAAAAGGTATGGTGAAAACGTCTCGGTATTTCATTCCATTTCAGCTCAAGAATGCCGTCAACTTAAGTATTCCCAACCAGTTCAGGACAGAGCACTAACTAATCACGTGATTATAAATATCAACACAACAAGAGAAGACATCTGCAACATCAAATGTTTCATCGAGCCAAATTGTTTGTCTTTTAACGTTGGACCTTTGGACGATAATCATCAATACTTGTGTGAGATAAGCAACTCGGATGAGGTACTGCATCCGGAAGATTTGCTGCCGCGTATGGGATTTACCTATCGGGGAACGCAGGTATTTTTAGAATTTGATTTTGTTCCCGGGCAAAGCAAAGGGCAGTATGGTAGTCTACTATTTCACCAATGAAAACGAGAGGCTCTGGGCAAAACAAACAAAAACTCGAGTAATCAAGGTTTATCTGAATTTCGTTGGTATTTTTAGAACAATGATTTGTTTTGTCCCCGGGCATTGGGCAGTATGGGAGTTTACTGTTTACCAATATAAACGACAAGTTCTGAACAAAAAAACGCAATTTCGAGTCGTCATGGTATATCTGCGTTTTGTTGGAAGAAATTAAATGCCAAACCACAAAAGCCAAAAAGGGTCGATGGTAAAACTAGCATTTTCCACGCAAAAAAGTTGTTAGCTACGTCAGTATGGAGGTTTCACCTTAATTTTCTCTTCTTGCTTTACCAGAGTCCCTGTAGCAATGGCGCTTGTGTAGAGAATAGCACTTGTCAAGCTGGATACACCAGTAAAGGTTATCGTTGCATCTGTNGTCATCAGTATCCTCACTTGTGAAGGACGTGAAGATATGGAAAATTCCCCACTCGGGAACTCGGATATAGTTTGGTATAATTTTTATAAGTGGATGTAATTTCCAGAAGAAAAAAAATACTTTTTTTCTATATGATAAAGGGCATTATTTCGCTTTTCCATTTTTACGAAATCGCGAGGGTTTGCCACGTCTCTTTAGTGTTGCAGAAACGTTTTATAAAGTGGAAACCTATGAGAATGAGAAGTCGAGTGCTGTGACAACATATAGATAATAATAATAAATAATAATAAAGTTTTTTGGGTGCATTTAAAAAAAACTCAATGCGCTTTCATTACTATAACATAAGTCATAGGCGGAGCATTTTTGCACATATTTCCAGTTCTGCATAACTTTCAACGAGTATTTTCGTTACTACAGAAACAGGAGTGATTGCGCATGCGAACAGTAACTTCCACTTGCTTCTTTCTGATATCAATCTAAGAAGGGAACTTAATTTTTTTTTCGCATCTTTCTTCGTATTTAGTTTAGAGAAGACATCTCCACATTGAGTCGCAAACACCGTGAAGAAGTCAAGCGACTGGAGCGGACATTGAACGAAGCCAAAGTAAGTCAGCGTGTATTCTCTCATTATATTATCAGCTTATTGTCAACAAGTGTGGAAAGAGAATGGAGAAAAACATCAACAAAGCATATTATTTAGATGTACGACCAAATTCTCTGAACTAACATTGGAAGAAAAGTATTATAGTCAGTTGCCAGGATTCAACTGGAATCACGTATCAATCACTCGTGGTTGAGGCTATGTTAGCGCTGGTTTTGTCCTAGCAATGTCACTTTAATCTCACAATGTCGCTCTCTAGCAAGTGGTAAAATTGGTCTTTTTGTAAAAATGTTAGGGTGACCACTGATATACTAGCATGCCTTTCGGGGAAGGGCGGGGGAGCGGGGAGGGGGTAATGCAGAAAATGAAACCAGAGCCGCCGGCTTCTTTAGCTACAAGGCTCTGGAAAGGTTTTGCAGAATTAAATTGTCCATTTCTTAAATGAAGCAAGGAAATATTCAACGAAAGAAATGGAATTTTAACCATGTTTCAAGTCGTGCGAATTGTTAAGTAATGTTACAAGAGAAATAAGCTGCTTTATGGTTTGTTCCCAAACTTGGTTTGTTTCCTATGAGTTCTTTTTCGTTCTTAGCTTGCTTGCGATCGCTTGCGATCTCGTTGAACGCAAGACAAAATTTAATTAGAGGGTCTATGGACAGACTAGATGCTCTCTGATCTCTTCTGTTCTTTGTTTCACGGCTGTATCTAGACTGCAAAAGAATTTCATTATCACCCATATGAATAGAAAGATCCACATAACGTGACCCCAGTTATTTTATTTCAGGAGAAAAGCGAACAGACCAAAAATGCTAACAACTCAATCATACAAAATCTAGAGGGAAAAATCGTGGATTTGGAAAACCGTCTGCGTCAACCGTCAGCGGAGTCAGCGGAAGAAGTTCGCAAATTAAGGACCAGGCTCCAGGAGTCGGAAAGAAGGCTGCAAGAGGCCGAGCAGCAAATTGATGAATTGGAGACTAAAAACGAATCGTGGAGGCAAGAGGTAAGGGACGGTACTACTGTTTCTCCTTTCTCTTCTCTCTTCTAAGGTACGCCTGAACAGTGCATGTACCTTTAAGAACAATGTATTTATTTTCTTTTCTTTTCTTAGGTCTCTTTTTTACAAGAAACTGTTCGACGCGAGTGCGAGGAACGTTTGGAATTGACGGATGCTCTGGGTGAAGCGCGGGCTCAACTTCTAGCCCTTAAACGCACTTCCGGTGACTCGATTTCGCGAAGCAGCCTCAATTCCTCTAGTTCAATATCGTCTGGCAGCCTCACCCGGGGTAGTGCTAAGCCGGGATATGACGTCAATGGACTTAACGACAGTGCCCAGGCCACTTCATGCGCCGTCGGTTTCGACGGAGGCGTGGGTTATAGGCCTGGAACTGGCGCACGTGAAACGGGGCGATCGTCACGTGCAGGGAGCGTGGATGATAGCCGACAACGAATCGCGGCGGCCGTAAGAAGATCGGGAACGAAGAGTCGTTTGGGTGGAAACTTTAGTAGCTGACAAACCTTTAAGTCCTTGCAGTTAGTCTTAATTGAGCAGATAAAATGTGCTAGCGGAGAAGTCACCAGAGCGACAGATAGTCAAGAGAGATCTGAGTGCTGTGAGCTCGCCCTCCCTCCAAGCATTTTATTTAATTCTTTCCCGCTTGCAATTGAGAGCTGGGGATATATAGCTTTCCCCGAAGAGGAAAGGATGAAAACAAAACGAACATTAATATAATGAAATACAAAACATAACTTTACGTTTTAGTACTGAGTTTCAAAAATATCGTGTTGTTGGTGTAAATATTGTACATATAGCAGTGTTTTACATTCTTTGAAACTAATTTCTGATAAATACCGCGTTTCGCTGCGCGGGGATCGCTTCTGAATCAATCTTAGCTGACTGAATGAAATAACAAAAGTAAGAACAGCATGCCTGTTTACAAAACCTGGGGGACATATAGTTGAACCAGAAATGCCAGCGCTTTCGAAGCGGGAGCAACTGGTAGAAAAATTTCCTTGGAAAGTTTCCCGAACGTCCCAAAACTGTTACATTTCCAAAAAGCGAACTATTCAACCGAAAACTCCGGAAAGCCGGGATGAGAATCAAATGGGACAGAAATTCCCGATGAGACATTTTCGGAAATTTGGCCGGGTATGCAGCGCAAGGTTGTCCTTTTTTCCGTAAATTGTGGGAAATGCTCTTCCATTCGCCACTGGAAATTTCCGGATATGCAAACGGGAAGTTTTGGTCGAATGGAAAGCGCCCCTGATGTTCACAGTAGAGAGAGTTTGGGGGAATCCGAAAGTTCATGCAACAGGAAGTCCTAGGTGAAGGCTTACCAATTAAAAGTACTTTTAAATGCAGATAACATTGTATTTCTACTCCAGTATTTTCCGTTTTAAGTCTCGGACCGAGCCAATATATTCTACTCCTCTTCTTCGATCAATGTGTTGTGTTTCGACAGAAGCACAAAAATTGCTTGTATTTTTTAAGCGTTATAGGCCCAGGAGTGCATCAATACCGTCATCATCTTGATTAGGTCTGAGTTATAATTCCCAAAACATCTAATCTCCCCCCCTTTTTTCTTGTCCCCTTCCTATTTTCCAAGATCGTGCACACCTCGGTTACAAAGATTTTTGTTTTGGTTTTGTTTTTGCATTGCTTTGTTTTGTTTTTGTTTTTGTTTTTGGTTTGGTTTTGGTTTTGGTTTGTTTTTGTTTTTGTTTCTGTTTTTGTTTTGTTTTGTTTTTGTTTTGTTTCGTTTTTGTTTTTTTGTTCGTTGGGTACTGTTAATATAATTTTAAAACACGGAATTCATTTCACAGAACAATACAGGGAGACTTGTATGTAACAGTCTTTTCTTGCAAGGCTTATTCAAAGTTTTAAATTGTAACCTATGCAAACTAGCTTCGCTTTTGACAAATTTGAAATATATTTGTATAAGGAAATGAAGAAAATCACTTGATAAAAAAATCGATTACGTCAATTATGAGTTGTTTTTTTTTTTATTTGTGTTTGTATTTGAGGTGTCATCATGGTTTCATTGAAGAAAGACAATCTAAAGGCTTTTGAGTCAGTTAACGTTTGTGTGGTGTGCGATTTCTAATAAAAAATGTCCTGAAATTAAGTAACCCACAACTTAACAGTCGCTAACCAAATCACTCTTCTTTAGAAAAGATATTTTTAGTCCTTAGTAATGTGATGTTATCAAATCCTTTGAAAATCTTTCCTAACAAAAGATGCCCGGCCGTAAGCATCAATTTATGACGTATGGTGATCTGCGATTTTATGTAAAGACACCTGGCTTCATTGAAGATCAGTGTTTACTCACGGTTTAGTTCAAAAGCCTAGAGTTTGTCTTATGTCTTCTCTAATGAGAGAAAAATTAACCTCCAGGTATCATTGAAAACGGAACTTATACTTTCTAGCCAGTGACTTCTAATTGGGAGCAAACTTATTCCCTGCACTAGCGTTATTGACTGAATAAGGCAAGGTGCCTAATTTAACATAGTTATCCTGCTTCGGGGGGTACTTGAACTGAATGCTCGAGTTTGCAGGTGGCGGGAAAGTGTTGTTTTGGATATGTTTTCGCAGTTACAATTAGAATGCACGTAACTGGTAAATGAAGGCAATACGCAGTTTGGACCTGTCTGTTCTTTTCACCTCCATTTTGTTGCTGTTGTCCTTGCCTTAAGATCAGTCTGTTTTTTGAATCTTATTGTCTGAAGATTTTTACTGATCCAGGTTTACAGAGGGTGTGTTTCCCTTTCGGCATGTTGCTGGGTGTTCGCCTTTCTTGGAGTTCGTTAATGAAAGCTGGCTAACGCATTCAAGAAGACGGTTAGTCGCTTATTATCTACTCAAAACGATGTGGACGATTATGGTCATATGTATGGCTTGGCATCTTCAGTGTTCGGCGCTGAGTGAAGGTAGGAAGATATTCTGGGTTACGTTGAGTGTTAGCTAAGAGAGAGGGAGATTTAACAAATCGAATGTGGTTTAGCGCGGTCTTTACTCTTATCGACGACGATACGCGTCTTCACAGTGGTCAAAATGTTGTGGGCTCACGAGGCGTAGCAGAGTGAGTCCAAAAAGGCAAAGGTGAGTCCAAAAAGACATTGCGTGACGCATTGACGCGAGCAGCGTTGCCTGAACTCTTATCGACAACGGCAAGTTAGCCAATCAGATTGCGAGATTACTAGCAATTGTGGTAAAAAAGGTGATTGCTTAGTATTACTTTGCGCATCCCTACTGCGCACGATTTTCGCGTCATAAGCGCGCGCTCATGCGCGTGCACGTGCACAAAGTAAGAGATATCCCACAAGCTAAGCTCGACAGTGAAATAAATGCTCGTTTTCTCTTAAACGAGCATGGTGATCTACATTTTTTTATTGCATAATTTCGTGTACAAAATTATCCTCTTTAAGTTAAAAAAATAAGAAAAACATTGTTCGAAAGGAAAAGAAATATAGCTAAAAGCAGGGCGCCTCTTTTCGCCCTGGCTAAAAGAGTGCACAAAACCGATACGCGAGGATGCCAATTATGACCTCGAAAACAGCGGTTCCAGGAACGTTTTGAATCAATGTTGTTTAGAATTGTGTGATTTTGCAATAAATTATATATTACATTGTTCAATTCGCCCGACACTTTCTACCTATCAAGATTTTTTCAAGTTTGCTTTAATAACCTTTGCTTTCAGTTACCGCAAAATGTAAGGTCAACTGATGAAATAACGCGCTTGATTAGGCATAAATGGGGTAAGATTGGCCCATCATAACTCTTTAGCGAAAATGGTGGCCTTCTTTTTTATTGTATTTTTCGATAAAGTGCCTGGTAGGGAACACTGAGGGAAAGTTTCAAAACAATTGTTCGCATTTTTATTTCAGAGGAATCAACTTAATTGCACCCTCACACCACAGTAACGCGTTTAATTTTCTATGGCTACAACTGTTCAGTTTTCATCGAACACTCAACACTGCCTATATTCAGTGCTAAACTATTTTGAGTTAGGCTAAATAAAAAAATCGTTCTAAATAAAACAATTTTCTATGCAGTGTTGAGTAAATTAGGTTCAAGTGGTCCCGTTATTTGTGGAGAGAAACAAATCAAGTGTCTGCAGTGAGGAACAAACTTTGTTAAAGCACAAATAGCAACAAATTGTGTAAAGCAGCAATGTGTTTCGAAAGACTCCTCAATCAAATGCTTTTCAGTAATTAGGAAACTTGAATTTATGATGAGACAGCACACGAGTTTTAGAGGCTTTGTAAATCAACACTCTGTAAGGCCTGTGTCAGAGGAGAGCGATTGTCTGGTCGATACACATACAAGTAAGGAATTTTAATTTCATAAACAAATCCCAACTGATCAAAAATAACGGGGGCTTTTACACAATGTAAAAACCAACACGCAAAAGGTATGGTGAAAACGTCTCGGTATTTCATTCCATTTCAGCTCAAGAATGCCGTCAACTTAAGTATTCCCAACCAGTTCAGGACAGAGCACTAACTAATCACGTGATTATAAATATCAACACAACAAGAGAAGACATCTGCAACATCAAATGTTTCATCGAGCCAAATTGTTTGTCTTTTAACGTTGGACCTTTGGACGATAATCATCAATACTTGTGTGAGATAAGCAACTCGGATGAGGTACTGCATCCGGAAGATTTGCTGCCGCGTATGGGATTTACCTATCGGGGAACGCAGGTATTTTTAGAATTTGATTTTGTTCCCGGGCAAAGCAAAGGGCAGTATGGTAGTCTACTATTTCACCAATGAAAACGAGAGGCTCTGGGCAAAACAAACAAAAACTCGAGTAATCAAGGTTTATCTGAATTTCGTTGGTATTTTTAGAACAATGATTTGTTTTGTCCCCGGGCATTGGGCAGTATGGGAGTTTACTGTTTACCAATATAAACGACAAGTTCTGAACAAAAAAACGCAATTTCGAGTCGTCATGGTATATCTGCGTTTTGTTGGAAGAAATTAAATGCCAAACCACAAAAGCCAAAAAGGGTCGATGGTAAAACTAGCATTTTCCACGCAAAAAAGTTGTTAGCTACGTCAGTATGGAGGTTTCACCTTAATTTTCTCTTCTTGCTTTACCAGAGTCCCTGTAGCAATGGCGCTTGTGTAGAGAATAGCACTTGTCAAGCTGGATACACCAGTAAAGGTTATCGTTGCATCTGTTCGACAGGATTCACTGGATCGAGCTGCAGTCAAGGTGATTGGAGCATAGCTTTTTTAGTTGACTTAGTTTCAGGTTAGATGAGTTTTGAAGACAGTTCAGTTCAAACTTATTTTACATAGAGCGACATTGAAGACAGGAGAGATCATGAAAGAGACTTGAGTGAGAAGCAAAATAATTGCCAATCAAGCGGAGGTTAACCTTCTCTTTCCACCGGTTACCTGTTTGGCTTGGACTTGTAAGCTCTTTGTGATTCATTGTATAGTGTTCAAGTTTTGTTAAGTTCAGACTCTTTATTTTTGCTTTTTTCACCGTTTGATATGATCACACGGCATTTTGTTAATGCAATCAAATTTGTCGTATTCAGATCAAAAAGACGCCAACATATTCGATAAATATTCCTCTTCCATAGCAAGTCATACTCCCGCCAAAAATAAGCGCCGATTAACTAATGTTCATAAAATAGCCAGGGCCGTAAAGAGGTAACCACCGCGTGTTTAGATAATTTGATCGAAGCCATCCTATTTGTGATCTAGATATTGATGAATGCACCAATGGTGGCCATGATTGCCCTGTGAATGCTGATTGTGTTAACACTGAGGGGTCCTTTAATTGCACCTGTAGTTTGGGCTACACTGGAGGTGGACGTGATTGTACAGGTAGGGACTGATAGAGGGCGATATGTGTAATAGGAGAACTTTGAGAACTTTGATGGGGGTCAGCTCGGCTCTCACTACTACAATGGATCGTTGGTTATAACTTCTTTATTTGTCTTCTCAGCACACTCAATGGGTTCGGCGTTCAACTGGTTCTGGCTTGGAAATTCTACTCGAGTTCTTTTATGGGGACCAGCTACGAACTGTCAATCATCCATCAAAATGTCAGAAAATGTCAAGATTCGTAATCAATTCTTACGCAATGACTTGCGCAGTACGCTTCACACGAAGGTGTTACATCGGGAAGGTTCATCTCTGTGATTACGCAAACATTGTCAAAATCGTCCCTTTTTCCTAAATTTTCACTTACATACTTTAGCTATCTGGCCCCGATAAAACAACGCAAGCAATATAAAAATTACAAGGAATATTTTTACAGAATAACATAAACT